CCGCGTGTGCCGGACGTCGCCTAAAGAGAGGAACACCATTGAGACGGAGCCCGCACCAGGAGCGGGCTGGCGCTAGGAGGGGTCCGGATGTCTTAACAACAGCTGTTCCCGGATCCCTCCTGTTACAGGCGCAGAGTGGCACACCGTGTGGTTTTAGTCGGTCCGAGTCCGACACACCACCCCGCCGCAAACCCCGGAGGGGTGACGGTCCGAGGGGATTTCCACACGTTAAAAAAAAAAAAAAAAAAAAAGGGTTTGTTTCAAGTTTTCCTTCTCTTTGCAGTGCTGTTGTCCTGCGTAGTTTGTTCCCTTAGTCGACTCTTACGACACCCATGGGATAAATAGGGGTGGTGACATTTCGTATTCTTAATCCGTCACCACACGGACTCGGACGGTTTAAATTTTAGTGCAAGCAAATTTTGCTAGTAGCGGCAGTCCTACAGGATATCGTATAGCCTAGTGTAGCTTTATTCATTTAGATAGTTATATATAAATAACTGTAGGTATATGTAGAAAAAACATATTAATAAACGTTTCAATCTACGAGTATATCTTTAAAAGAATAAACTGACACTGATTCACTGACTAATCGATCAACGCACGGTGTATGAAAAAAGTATGAAATTTTCCTTAGGTGACGTTGGTGTACACTAAGAAAGGATTTCCACTCCTAATGGTGCACAATGGGGTTCGAAATTTATATGGAACTTCGTTATATTTAGTAGAAATGTTTTCAAAAATTTTTAAACTTACAGTAAGTAAATACTCTTTATTAAAAGTAATAAAAAACATTCCTACTAATTCTGCAAAACTACCCTTGAAAAGGGCTGCAAGTTCGTATGGGGAATATTATTTTGTAATATATCGATTCACAACTCAATATAAGTATATTCTCTATCAAAAAATAAAATAGACACCTATTATTTTAACTTTTCAAAACGTAAGTATGTTTGTTATTAAATCACGCCAAAACGGCTATCTGGATCTGGAAGAGATTTGGCACATAGATATAGTCTAGAAGAGCAAAGAGGCCACTACTCATCCCGGCCAAATTTATGAACAAAATTAACATTTACGAGAGCGAAGCCGTGGGCAAAAGCTGGTAGACAATACAATAGGTACATACCATCTTTCTTATGTTTTTGTAGATCCCATCAGTTTAAACAAAAATATAAAATATATGTTATGTCCAACTATAATTCTATAACTATAACTCTTTTTTTGTATTTTCATTGGCACTATATAAACTTCTAATTGCCGTTGTTTTAAAAAATGAATAATTATTTTGTAGCTGGAATAAAATTGAGCTACCAATTAATTTTTCTTTTAAACTATGTATTGTCAAGTTATTCTAGAAGGCATTGCCTTCTTATTCTACTATTTATGTAAAACATATAATATAAACAGTATTAAAATTTTATAAGCATCTTACTACTGCTAAAAGCGCCTTGGAAAATAATGCGAGCAACTAGCTGGCGCTGAGTGCGTTGCTACGCTTATTGTATTATTTCTGTCTTTAAACGACAAAGCTATTGAATTAAGAGAAAATGAAATCCAGTATATTTTTAAAATTGATATTTTCTTCACGTTGTTAAGGGCTAGCAATTATTTTTCGATAAGGATGAGAATATCTTTTTCACAAATGATGCCTTTTTAAAATATTTAATGGGCAGTGTAATTAATAATTTTAAATCTATTTTATTCTTCATTGGCAACTATGATATAATTTTAATATATATTGAACTACACACATAACATTAGCATTTGATATGATCCTCAATTGAAAGATTCAAGAAAATCAGCATCTTTAAAAAAGATTATCAGCGCCTACCATAATTCTAATAGCCATATGTCTTAGTGGTGCGTTTTTTGTTATGTACAGTGTTTTAGTATTTTACATACTAAGATTTCATACTTAATACTGCACTAAACCCTTTAAAGAACAGAAGAAGGCAGTTTAAAGAAAAGGGATATTCATTGTGGCTGTTGCTCGACTATTAGAAATACAATTAAAATATATTTTAACCTCTTTTAATACAACTTTAGTAGCGTCATCTGTGCGTAACTAACTACGCGCGTATAAACACCTTGGAAGTTAATTTTAATTCTACTTCAAAACTTACTTTGTATGCAAATATATTAGTTCTCATAAAAATATATCGTGGAGTAGATTTCACAATGGAACCTGTATGTAAAAGGTAATTCTTCAGTGGTTTGTAAACTGAAATAGAGCGGTAGTCCATCAGATTGTCCGACCCTGCGTTCTAGTTATTTCTCCATTTATTTAAGTAACATTATAATCTCACAGTCTCACAACCAAAAAGCTTACCCAGAACATTAGGTAATTTATTGATATAAATTACAAATAACATTCATTTAATCACACAGAAAGAGCGACTAATACATTCATTAATAGAAGTTGTTTTAAATATCATTTCTAACTTGATTCATTAGAACTTAAAATTAAAGTTTAAGGTAAGTCAGTCTCACTTGTCGCAAAAGCTATTTGAGTGAGTAGCGAACAGTTCTCTTAGTAGTTCGTGACCGTCTTCAAGTTTAAAACTTAAAAAATAATCCACATTTTCTGTAATGACGCCGACTGCTTAAGTGGGTACTTCAGACTTTAAGCACTAAAAGAATTTAATTCTTCTGCGATTAAGGACTGTGATTAAGGTTCATTGCGTTCAAAATAGTAGTTTTTGTTGTACAACTAAAGCGAATTAACAAATTAGGGATAATTGTTTTCGTCAAAATTTCAGATATCAATTTGAGGTCACATATTATGCTTAAAAGCATTCGTAAATAGACACTTTATTACTACTTATAAATGGTACGATATGATAATGTTAAATTTACAAACAATATTTACATTAAAAGGGTTCTGAAAATTTGTCATTTTCTATTAATAACGTATGTAAATCGAGATATGTGTTTATCACACTTATTAAGTAACAAAAAATGAGTTCGTAACATGTGTTTTTGTGAAATTTGTGATAAACCGTTATTGTTATATAACTTTAAATATGAACGAAATGTTATTAGTAAATCTATTATAGCTTACTGTTCAAATTTTGAATTTTTTTTGAGATTATAATAACCAGACAGTGGTAGTTCCATCCCAAAAAAAAACGAACAAATTAAAGAAGCGCATATTACACCAACGGCATGGTTTCTTTTCGACTTCATAACTCATACGTATGTTGCATCCTTGCTTCATCGAGGATATAGTGCAAGATTACATCGGAATTAAAACGTCTACAACTTCATTTTGTTCTGTCTGAAAAGAACATGGCCGACATCTATTGACCCTTTAGTGCCGTATCTCTGACCCCCCAAACATCAACCAGACATAAAGGCGCTTACTTATTTAGAAAGAGTAAAGCATCATTACTGTTTAGTTAGAAAAATAACTTTCACGCACACATTCCGAAAGTGAAGGACACGGTTTCATGAAACGATTTTTAATATTAGATAACATATTACGCGTAACACAAATTTAAGTTTGCATATGGGGTGACGTGCTGAAGAAACTCATCGGCGTAAATTCGTGCCGTATCGGGACTAAGCTCCTGTAACGATCCACCCCTTGCCGTATTTATGTACGTCCTACAGACACTTTAATGTGCCTACATCATTAACCATTTTAATGTAGGTATTATTGCCATTAAAGGTGTAGTACTGCAGTATCTATTATGTTACATAATCTTTATTGCCTTTGTCTACATAATATTATGTTGATACTTATGTAATATAAAACATTAATATTTCGGCTTAATACAACTTTTATATATCATAGATTTATTACAAATAGATAGTGATATCACATCAACAGCCTTTAGTAGTTCATTGCTGGACCTAGGCCTCTCCTTAAAAAGGAGGTTTTGGCCTACTATACCATGTTGGCCAGAGGGGTTGGTATAGGGTTTGTTTCAAGTCCTGGGCTTTCCTTTCTACTCTCTACTGGTATCAGGAGACGCCGTGCGGTTTTTAGTCGCTTCGAGTCCGACATAACTACTCCACTGGTGGGTGGTATCCGAGGGGATACCGCACAGAAAAACGGGGGGTTTATACGAGCAGAAGGATCGCCTGATGGTAAGTGACTACCACCGCCCATGGACAAGCAAGGCAAAAGTTTTCCTTCTCTTTGCAGTGCTGTTGTCCTGCGTAGTTTGCTCCCTTAGTCGCCTCTTATGACACCCATTTGATGTATACGGTTTGTGATTCTCTGTATTCTTAATCCTTCACCACACGGAAAGTCATATAGAGTAATAGAATAATAGTGAAGAAGGGCCGAGTTAAAATCACTGTAACTAGTGAGCATGTGTCAAAAGTGTGATGAATGTAGAAAAGGTGTGTGAATGAGGATGTATGACACACATTCTCGTGCTCACATCGTATTCAAGTCATTTTCTATTTCTAGTAAACAGTTATTCCAACAACTCGATGATTAGTTTACATTATGCAATGGCAATTTGACTAGTTTTAGGACTTGGAGGACTAGTCATTCATGACTTCGACTTATCAATACCTCCGCAAAGCAGAAATTAATTAGAAATAAATTTCAAACTTTTTTTCATTTGCTACCGTAGTTGTGAGCAAAAAATTTAATGTATTTGTTTATCTCTATGATGAAAAATCGCATGTCGCACTTGAGACGCTGTTATTTTATTTAGTAACTAGCTTTTGACCGCGGCTCTGCCCGCGTGTATGTCTTAATAATATAGCTTTCCATTAGTGCAAGAATTTTTAAAATCGCTCACTCATCACAATCACTCACTTTCGCATTTATTAAATAAATATGAATTACTTAAATTTTTAGTATTCAAAATGTTTTACATCTTGAAGTTGAATTAAAACTATCCAAGAAACAAGTACCTAATAATGATAAATAGATATTCCATGAAATGGTAGTAGGACCTTAAAAAAAAAAACATCGTACCGTATATGTCACCAGAGTACTGAATACTAAAAAGAAAATATTACATATACAAAGCACTTACCTGATCGGTTTCCTTTGTGAGCTGACGCGTACATTCTCGTAGAGGTGCAGTCCCTTTCATCCTGATTGAACGTATTCAAATATTCGTTTCGGTCATGTATCGGGGTTGATAGCACGCTTTCACATCTTGGTGATTGATGACACAACAAACTATCACTCCTCGGAAAAGGCTGACCATCTGAGTTCTTGCCTTCACCGTTTGCTGATGGCGAATCGAATTTTAATGAATGCCCGTTTTGATTGTCTTTGTTATCACATCCATTCAGTACTATCTTTTTTATAGTCTTTACTTCTTCAACTTCGCTTATCTTTTCTTCAATAAATGTCGACCGTTTTGTAATATTTTCATTCAAATGAAAATTATTGTCGCTGACAGAGTTGGACATGGTTTTACTTTCAGAGTCAGGTTTTTCATTAAAGTCATTGTTAGGACGTAAATATTTTTCAAATGGATCACTGTTTCTTTTAGTTTCAAATGGGTTTTTGGTATTATTTTGCCCGTGACCTGGAAGATTTTTATCGTGAAATTGATCTGCGGGCCGACTGTAAGATACCTGGTCAGTTTTCTCTTTGTTAATCGATGGCGTTGTGTAATTTACATTTCCATTGGTATTTTGAGTTTCATTATGATAAGAGAATGGAAGACTATGAGGGCCTGAATTGGATGTTCTTGAAAAAGGCGATGAAGACTTTAAGTCAGAACTTGAGTCAATGTATGACGAAGAGGTTTTAATTTTATTTCTATCTAAGCTGGAGAGAGATGTTCTGCCATTAGGTACAGGTAATTTTGATGCACTCGAATAATTTGAAGGTAGAGTGGTGAAAAATGGATTTGTTGGATGAAATCTTACAGGTTCTTCTTTTTGGACCACCGACTGCACAAGTGAGGTAGAGTTGAGCGCCGCAGGTAAAGAGTTTAGAGAAGCTCTAATAGGTGATGGGGATGGTTTATATTGTGGTGACTGAGACGGTCGAATAGTCGCATAAACAGGAGGTTGAGGTGTAGCTCTGTCGCTTTGCACTTCAGCAATCAATTGTGATGGTCCTGAAAAATCAATAGGATTGGTCACATAAACTCCAAAGAGCAAAATAAATATACAGCGAACTTGTGAAACGAAACATCGCACAGAGACCAGATATGCCATGAAATACTGAACTTTATTTACACGTAATAAAAGTACCCGTGTGTGCTGTGCAATGCTTCGTTCTAACATTTCCAAGCAAACAGGGAATAGCGATAAAGTCGACGCCCGCTTTGCTATGGGTCTGAATATGCAAACGTGCGATAAAGTAATGTCACAACTATACAAAGGGAAATATACCAGACACCGGGAAGTAACAAGCATTCTGCTTTCCCTGATTCATACGCAAGCTCATATTTTGTGTCTTCAACTAAGTTATCTTATGGAATTTATTCTTTATGTATAAAGTTTGTTCGCTCCTTGAATGGGTATAACTTGCTTTTAAAACTAAAAGATAGTACGAAACCATTATAGTTGATTATACATATATGTTCGTTGTTAAGTATTTATACGTTCAAATCAATGTTAAATGTTTCTTAATCGTAACGCCAAATTCGATGCGCCTTTATTTTTCTTTGAAACTGAATGGAGTCAAAAAGAAAGTATACCTACTTTTACCATACCTTACCCTGAATACAACAAATAAATCTTAATTAATTGACAGAGTACTGACGTGACAAACATCAATAAAATACTCCTGAATTGATTATCTCGTCCTTTTTTTGGAGTCGGTTACAAATTTAAATATCGAAAATATTTTACGAATACAATATCACACAGTAAATGCTATAATTGCAATTTTGACATGAAACGCAGCTTAAATCCAAATTGCCAATGTTCAACGATTAAATCCGTGAACAGAATAGAATAAGTTATCGCATTAAGCCGTGCGATGTCTTCCGATAATCCTGTCCGTACTCCAGGCTTTGATACAATATTTAGTTAGCTCAACTACGCTCCTGCATAAGATCTTTCATTAATATTTATTGCTTTAAACCTATAAACCCCTGTCGTGTAATGACACCATAGACAATGTTTCTACACGTTTTTCATTAATATTTATCGTGTGTTGTTGTAGTTTTTTTTATTTAAAGGAGCAGACGGTTCACCTGACGGTAAGTGACTACCACGACCTATGGATACTTGCAAATCCAGAGTTACAAGTACGCTTTTTTAAGCAACTCCTCAGAATCAGGGGAAGGAGAGGTTTGGGCTAACCTCGCTCACTCGGTGAAACGCAACGAAAGACTGCTGCTTAACACTGGTTTTCTGGAAGAATGTGGTCGGCCGGCCCCTTTGTGCTGAAGTACGGCTCTCCCACGGATTCCTAACTGATTCATTCTTGTTAATAGTTAGACAAGATAGGTACTTCGTGTTTTTATACAAAACCAGAGCATTGTCTATCCTTTAAAACCTTCACATTTCACTAATTTCTTGAAGCAATCCAAAATGTAGTTTTTTTTTTTAATCAGAGCTTTGAGTTTGGTAAGGCCAGAGACACTCGTGTCTATAGACATTGAGAGTTTAGTCGTTTGTAAATGCTTAAAAGTTTTAATTTTCCTACATTGGTCAAAATATTATAAAACTGCCTTGTCCTCATTTGTTATTTACAATATCTCTCAACCTTTTAAAGACTCATTTGGCTTAAACGGTATCGTTAAAGATTTTAAAAGCGACAATTTGTTCTTGTCGACAAGGCTTTGTAGCGGGTTCCACTTTTATTAAGTGTTTTATTTTGGTTCATTTAACTTTTAGATACTAATACTTGATGTTAAAACAGTTGTTTGTTGGTTTATCTATTTATTTGAGACTGTCATTATAAAAAAAGATATGTTACTCTACAATATATGAGGGCTGACTAGACTTCATGGGGCTTAGATTTTTTATAAGTAAACAAAGAAAAACATTTCATTTTAACACGTCTGTATTATTACTTTTACTATATGGTTACTTATAGTTTGTCCGTGTGGTGACGGATTAAGAATACGGTGTGTCACCACCCCTATTCATCCCGTGGGTGTCGTAAGAGCCGACCAAAGGAGCAAACTACGTGGGACAACAGCACTGCAGAGAGAAGGAAAACTTGACACAAACGCTATACCAAGCCGTCTGGCCGATATAAGTTGAGTTGCAGGTATTCATGAGCGGCGGTGGTCACTTACCATCAGGTGATTCATCTGCTTGTTTACCTCCCTATATCATCAAAAGAGAAATACAAAACAAAGTAAAGCAAAATTTAACGACGAAAGTAAAGTAAATTTTGCTTAAAATACAGAACAGTTACCAAGTCCCTATATGTAAGTAGTATGTGGTTGACGTAATGAGTATGTCATGTGTCTACTTAAAACTTACTTTTCAGCTCGCTGCCTTTCCCAATTGATCTTCTTCGCGGTGACACATCCCTGTCCCTGGCGACAACAAAACTTAGATTAAATTTATAAAAAGGTAGGTAAATAAATTCGTAGACTATAATAGGGTAGATTCCTTTATTTAAAACAAATTATTTTGCTTAAATCATTATTTGAAACACCTTAAGTTACAGTATGAATTGTGATGACACATTTTTTTTTTATTGAAAGAAAGACAACTCCTGCACCAGGAACATACCCTGTGTCACGGTGGACTTTATAAACATTCATAAACACAAAGAACACTCAGAAGAACACTCAACAACAACTTGCGGATCACACAAAGTGTAGTCCCATGTGTGGATCGAACCCACAACACTCAACGCAGTATGGAGCGGTGAGAAGACCGCTTAGTTATCAATTTCATGTTTTCTTTTTTTAATATCTTCAAGTCAACATTAAAAGTTAAATTTGTCAATAACTAGAAAGGAAGTTACGCCTTGGTATTTCATACAAGAATTTACCTACCGCGCTTATCGTTTTAAAGTTAAAAAATAAAAAGACACTGATATGACTTGATTTGATAGTCATCTATTATATTCTTATAAGGATTTTATTTCAACTGCTGGTTTAAAGTTTTCCCTAACTGAATAAGTTTATTTTCTAAATATGGCATTATGTATGCGAATTATTCAAGTCTCAACCACAACTGTTAAGGCCGTATATAGTATTGTGCATTGCCTTGTGAATAGCAACGAAGCTTTCTTAACTGTTCGACAGACACACAAAAGTGTTCGGCCAAAGTAAAAGACATGTCAATGCGTACCTACATTTTATGTTTGTTGATTATACTGTACAATAAATGTATCGTTATCAAGGTAATTTCTAATAGTATGCCTTGACTTCTAAATATAATAATAATAAATGTGTTCTGTCATTTTTAAACTCTGCATATTGACAGGTTAACATACACATATAATTGTATATTGTTTAAAATTTCCCGAATTTCACAGCTTGTTACTCCTGAGCTGCAGGCGTTTATGGGTGGCGGTAGTCGCTTTCCATCAGGTGACCCGTCTGCTCATTTGCCCCCTATTCCATTCTGTATAATAAAAAAAAATAAAAAAACAAAAACTTAAAACTCGTAAATAATTATCTTTACGTGTTATTATATATATGTATATATTTGGTGTGTAGGTGTGATATTTTGATTATTATAGCGAGAATGTTAATAACGTATTTCTAAATAATTAAAAAAAATATTCATTTTTAACAAATATAATCTAAAAAATTCTTCCATGATGATTATTAGCTACTAACTTGACTTCTTATAAAAATACCATATAGGGGTCGAATGGATACTGCATTAATATGTAAATAAGAAAAGAAACAAGTAGTCTTATTTAAATCATTTCTAAAATTCATAGCAACCACACACTAGTATTGATAACGCTTCAGTGCTTAATTACAAAATCTTATAGTTACAATTTTCAATAGCAGAAAGCAAGCCTTTTTAAGAAGATAGTTCTCATTACATCACATCTCTTATATATGAAAGTATAACGGATAGAGGGAGAAAGCATACTCAACTAAGTCTAAAACTAAAATTTCTTTTACCAGTCTAACAGAGTCGAAAGCTTCGATTTATGTCACGACTAATCTGCACAGGAGGCAGCGTTCGATTCTCGTCTAAAACGTGGCAGTGTGATCAGATTAGTGCTGGAGTGGCGAATGTTCACTGCATATGTAAGATTGGCTAAATACAAATGGACATGCAGTTTATAGGGTCAATGTACAGCCTAAAGCAGTTTTCTGCTTATCGTTTTAATGGAAATGGAAAGAGTACTGTTGCTTCGAAAGGTTACAAACACAATTTTGTTATAGCTTATTAAACTACTAGCTGACCCCGCAAACGTTGTTTTGCCATATACATTATTTTAAATTAAAAAAAAAAAAGGTGTATGAAAAATAGATGTTGGTCGATTCTCAGACCTACCTGATATGCACACAAAATTTTACGAAAATCTCGAGTTTCGGAGGAGTTCAGCTTCTAACACCGTGACACGAGAATTTTATATATTAGATATAAGTTGGTATATTTTTCGAACAGCGGTAAATTTGGTTTTCTGGTATTTTTTTTGATAGGAGCAAACGAGCAGACGGTTCACCTGATGGTAAGCGATTACAGTCGTCCATGATTACCAGCAACTCAAGAGAGACAAGTGTATTGTCGCCCTTTGAGTAACCTCTCGCCCCGGAATGGTTGTAAAGATGTAGCTATTTTTTTTATCATATGTTTGTATCATGTGTAATATTTTAATAAGGTTCTTTAAAACTCGCCTTAACTCTACTTTAACTTTGTGTCCATTCATGTATGTTTATCTGAAACAGATACAAAGGGCACCCAAACTCAGAACAACAATTTGTGGATCATAAAAAAGTGTTGTCCCATGTGGGGATCGAACCCACAACACTTAGCGCAGTAGGAAGCGGCGAGGTGACCGCTTAAACCACTACGCCATCCGTGTAGTCAAAGGGGGTGCCAATGAGATATACGAAAACTATAGACTTTTCGGATACCTAATTGGTCTTTTAAGTAGTAATAAAATGAAGTTTAAGTTATAGTATACATAGTTATAGTATACAGAAAATCTTCACATCCTAAGTTGCTGAGGTCTCGGATTCGATGCCCGGGTCTGAACAAATGTTTGTATGATCTGCAAGTATCGTATATTTTCTATGTGTAATATGTATGTATTAACAAAAAAACTATATAAATATTTAAGTCAATCTAGCTTTCATAGTACAAGCTCTGCTTAGTTTGAAACTAGATCACGTTGTGTGTTAGTTGTCTTAATTATTATAATTAAATTAAATTTTATTGTTTTTTTTTTCAAATTGACCCTATTTTAAATTCACTACTAATGAAATCAATAAAAGGAAGACTCACTCGTTCAAACCGAGCTTCAACATCGGACCAGCTGTTCTCAGCATCGCATGAGCATCAGAATTGCTCATCCCTTTAGTAGGCCGCCCATTGATTGATGATATGACATCGCCCTCTCGGATGCCACTCAGCGATGCTTTGCGTCCTGGATTCACCTAAAAAGAGAACAGATTTTTGAGTCAATAATATTTTCTACCTTTGGCTTACCTACGACTTAACCAATTTGTAGAAAATTTGGTATGGAAGTAGCTTATCCCCAAAAAATCTAGGTTTCCCGTAAGATGAGCAATTGTAATATATTTAATAAACCGCGGGTATCGTCGGGTTACACAGTTAGTGCATAATAAATTTAATTTAAAGACGAAAACAATCGAAAGCCTTTTCATTAAACGATTACAACAAGATTCGTAATTAAAGACTACTTTGTAAAGTTTAATATGCAATAAAATTAACCTATAAAATTATTACAATGTAGATTACAAAACTTCACGGTTCAAATGGCAGGCTATTAATAAGTTAACACTTTCCCGTAAAGGCGTCAGAAATGTTAATGTGTTATTAAGATACACCGATGTGTAAACTGGGGTTTCCCCACAATTTCTATAAACTTCGCGTAGCTTCGTCTTTATAGTAAAATCGATTGATATTTAGCGTAAGCATTTTTTGTTAATAGCTTTTAATGTTACGTAACTATTTAATTAGTAGAAAACATGGTCTATTGGTTAGCATCCACCCAGGATAAATATTTTGTGAAGAGCGCCATCAGTAATTGTGTGCCTAGGTGTAATTTATCTGGAGAAACTACTGGCTTTCCCTGTGATAGGGCCTAGTTAAGTGCGGCGTGGATCTGGAGGGAGACCTGAAATCACATGGCCCGGGTTCTCCCTTTCTATTTTTTATTTTTTTAGGTGTGGAAACCCCCTCGAGCATTCACCCACCGGGTTTTGCAGCGGGGTGGTGTGTTAAACCACACGGTGTGCCACTCTGCGCCTGTAATAGGAGGGATCGGGGAACTGTTGTTATTAAGTCAGGGTCCCAGAGCAGGGCACCTGAGGCTGGCCGTCGGGGTGGTTTTTAGTGGAATCACCACATACTCCTAGCTCCTAGCCCCGAGGAGCCGGAGATGCGAAGGGATTTTCCACCCCGTCACCATAAAAAAAAGATGTAATTTATCTGCAACTAGCTGACCTGCGCAACTTCGTCTGCGTCTCTCAATAGTAATAAATTTTCTCCGTTTTTGAAACATTCTTCATTGGTGCTCCGCTCCTATTGGTCTTAGCGTGATGATATATAGCCTATAGCCTTCCTCGATAAATGGGCTATCTAACACTGAAAGAATTTTTCAAATCGGACCAGTAGTTCCTGAGATTATCGCGTTCAAACAAACAAACAAACAACCAAACAAACAAACTCTTCAGCTTTATAATATTAGTATAGATATGTCTAGATTAAAAAAAAACATAAGTATATTTATCAGTAGTCTGGTTGCAATAGTACAGACTCAGCCTATTTTGGGATCAGACGAACGAGTGTAATTTTCATTAAATTATATTAAGTTTTTATTTTATTTTATTATACAGTCAACGACAAAAGTTGATGATAAAAACGAAATGACAAAATTACTGAAGGATATTTGGAGCAAATCTAAGTAGTGCTACAATGTTCCAAAACTAAGTGATTGAATAAAGTACCCGAAAATTAGCTGATCGAACTGTCACTAAAAGTTGATAGTCAAAGCCGTTTCAAAATAATTAGCTGCTCTAAATATCGTTCAGTAGTTTTGACATTCAATTTTTGATCATCAACTTTTATCGTTAACTGTACTTAATCTTAGTTATTTATTTCCAAAAGTCACTTTATATGCAATAACAAAGTACAAACACATTTTTTTCATTTTTTTTTAAAAGAACTCTCGCACTAGGAATACACACTGTGTCGCGGGGGACTTTACAAACATACACAAAGCGGACACAAAGAACACCCAGACTCAGAAAGACAATTTGTGAATCACACAAAGTATCGTCCCATGTGGAGCTCGAACCCACAACACTCAACGTAGTACTCGTAGGAGGCGGGGCGGTGTCGCGTCCGTCCGTGCAGTCCATCTTTGATACAAGGTAATTTCAGGTACCGCATTGGTTATATATAAACCTTTTAAGGCCATTGCCATATTTTCGTATTAAGACGTAGGCGCCAGTGGCGCACCCACTTTTGCAAATAAAATCACGTTATCTAGGTCATCGAATTAATCAGTCGAATGAACTGATTGTCGACATTTTTAGATGATATAAATCTACTTAGTACGGTGCTAGGCTTGTTGGTATAATGGTTAGCGGTCCTGACTGCAAGCCGGAGGTCATGGGATCGATTCCCACCCCGGCAAAATATTGTGTGATAAGCTCTATCCGTATGGTGATGGATTAAGAATACGGTGTGTCACCACCCCTATTCATCGAGTGGGTATCGTAAGAGAAGACTATAGGAGCAAACTACACAGGATAACAGCACTGCAAAGAGAAAGAACACTTGAAACAAACCGTATACCAACCCGTCTGTCTATCGAGGTATAGAAGGCCAAAACCTCCTTTATACGGAAAGACCTATGTCCAGCAATGGACAATTAAAGGCTGTTTATGATGATGATGACTTTATCCCCGAAAGAGGCGTATTAAGCCCCTGTAATACATCGGAAAGGCAATTCAAAATAATTAACATTTTTAATATTTTAGCTAAGTTTTAAATAAAATATACACACTGCATTCGGCTCTCGACGCCTTGCCGCGGGTGAGCAGAACTTCAACATTTCCCAAAAAGCTCCGACCTCACTTTACGCACACACAAAGTCACACACACAACTGCATAATAGACACACTGTAACTAAAACGCACTACACTTTATTGGGAAAGGCCACAGCCCGAAAAGCGGATACATTTGTTCCCTTACACTTTAAAATCACAAGTAATCACCGTAATAGGCAAAAAGCAACGTTTTTGAATTGCTTAATTTAAAAAACGGTATAAAAACTTAATATCCCAACAAGCCGGTCGCACAAATTACTAAGCGCAATGATATAATTAAGGTATAATTTGGACGGACGGTATACATATTGTTTGAAGAGCGGTTGTACTCGCTAGCCCCAAGAAAGCCGTGAACGATACTAAAGCACAGAAGGTGAGCACGCGATCTAACAGCCAATTTCATCGGAACATTATATGGGCATTATTCGTAAATGCATGCGCCGTGAGGGACACACACGTCTATTGTTATGTTAGGAACCATCACTCGTTACGAATATTAATCTTGTTGAAGTCAAACTGACGCTTCACTTCGAGTTTGTTGTGCGATGGTGTCTTTAAGGATTTCGATGTGTTCTCGATAGGGCAATGAACTAACATTGTATGGAAATTTAACGAGATTAGGATATAAGTAGATTTATAAACTAAATTTTGTTATTAACGACCAGAATATTATGTTGTTTTAAATTGTTCATGCGTACATTTTAATGATATTAAATGACATAGTAATAGTAGTCACAAACATCGGATGGGGTGTCTAAACATAGACTTTAAGGCTATAGAAACCTGGTGTAGTAATAAGTGAAATAGTAACAAGGTAAGTGAATAAATGACTTTCGTCAATGTATTACTATAGACAAATGAAGTAAACGATAAGAAAAGTAGTATTTAAACGGTAAGTAATAAAGAAGAAAGGAGGCAGTTCGTGAAAGGAAATTCAAATTGCAAGTGCAAGCCCATTGTTTTAAGCCCATGTAAGTCGAGGAAGGAACAAAGAGCTTAAACGTGTAGGAAACGTTCGAGCTTAGTTATAGATTTATGGTAGTTCTTTGGATACTAAACGTTTATAAGTATACTCAAACCTAAATAGATAGAAAGTTAAGATAGCTCAATATGTTATGGAAGTGTTCAATTATTTTTTTGAGGTCTTGATATTAAGGCACTAACTTTAATGAAATAAGAGCAGTCCGTATACCAAGTTTTATCACTTTGAATAGTGGCGAACATGTGACAGTAGGAACTCTCAGAACTGTATCGTCTTCTGGAGTGTTATAATTGAATGCAGAAGTTAGAAACGGTGTCTTGTTAGTGCAATTAAATCAAGAGTGGAACCGCAGTTGAGAATATAAGTTTATACGTTTGAAACTTTGATTCGCGTGGATAATTTAAATACGTGAGATTGAGTTCAACATTGATACTAACGCAATTTTAAGTAGCCTATATTGCGTTATTAAGTTCAAACAAATTCTGTACTAACTTTATACTGTGTGATACTATATGTTTTTGTAATATGTACTATCATACGAATTAGCAATAACAATACACATTACACAGAAATTCTTCACAGGATATACCTTTTGGCTTAGAGTATGGGATGCTTTATTAAGGTGCCAATACAAAGAGAGCTCTATCTTCTTCCTTGCCTTATAGTATTAAGTATAAAGATTGGGTAAGTCGTGTAACTATCGAAGGTCTACCGTTATTGGGCAGTTACTTAACTCGGTAATGTCTACATGCGGGACACGTAAGCTGCGTGACTCCTAAGCGAACGTGCGATGCTTGCACGATCACACCCCATATAGATCTACTTGAATCCTAAGCCCAATTTATCCTACTTATTTCAGTATATTTATATTGTGAACTTATATCGCTCTATCTTTCGAGTCAGAGTAAACCAAAATACACCAATATAAAGTAATGGATTCTACGAACACAAAACGCTTCCGAATTCTAGAGAAAATAATGTTTATTCTTTTTCTCAGAATTCTGATATTTTAAGCTTTATACAGGTTAGGAACTCCTACAACGTGATACACGAATTAAGTAAAATAGCTGTATACATTCGAAATTATTAATGTTTCGATAAGGTATATGCAGTGGGGTTGAGTAGCAAAAGTACGTTTTACGGGTTACGCGATACTGCGAGTAGATGTGGAAGTTACATGTGAATTTTCTAAATGAGAACACGTAATTGCCGAACGTGGGGCATAATTCACGCGCTGGCAAACGACAAAGAGTCGTCAACCCTCGCAATCTCTATGTAATGACACTCATGCCGCTTGACTTCTACGTCAGACGTCAGTCGGGGCCTGGAATTAACCCAGGCTTTGATCAACGGCGTTGTCCGTTTGACTAGTTCTGTGTCAGTCTTGTTTGTAGTTATTCCGATATTGTTTTTAATTGTGAATGCTATTGTTATCTACGTGTACAATGTGTGTTACACAGGATATTGGAATGTCATGAATAAAACATTCTATTCTAAGAAGACTTTTAGTGTAAGTATAGTAAGTAAGCTGAAAAATAACTATTTATATGTATATTGTCAAGCAGTGCCGGATTAAGCCAGCGCGGAGCCTGGGGGCCCTTGAATTGTTTTAGGTTACCTAGGTTATGATATTCATCATGATCAGCCTATAATAGTCCACTGCTGGACCAATGTCCAGCAGTGCACTATATAACCAAAACCAAACAGTCCGTATATGACCAAAACCAAACAGTCTGTATATAACCAAACCGTCTGGCCAGTATGGTATAGCAGGCAAGGACCTGCTTTCTAAGGAGAGCCCAATTCCTTAGAAAGCAGGTCCTTGCCGGCTATACCATACTGGCCAGACGGTTTGGTTATACCAGTCACACACACACACACAAGCTCTATAGGGTTTGTGTGTGTGTGTGTGTGTGTGACTGGTTCAAGTTTGAGACATCGGCGCATGTCGTGCGGTGTTCCACAGTGAGTGGACCCAGAATCGTGACAAAACGTCTATATATGTCAATGGCACTGTACGATGCGACGGAGTGGACGGCGGCTCTGATCGCCCAGAATAGCACCTCTAGCACTCTCAGAGGGTATTCGGGCGGACCCCGAAGAATTTCGTTGATCGTCCCGGCTACAGGCTCCACGTACTAACTTTGCCACCGTAGAGGCGCTCTGGTCGGTCATCTTCGAGAGGGCAAGGCGGCAGCACGAAACCCATTCCTTTCGACTGATGCAGGCCCTTTCCGGGCATGGCTAATTCTGCACTTGGTCGCTAGGAGGGAATTGAGTCCTGCCTGTGATCACTGCGATTGCAGTAAGGACTCGGATCAACACACGCTAGCAATTTGCCCAGCTTGGACATCGCAGCATCGGGTCACAGTGCAAAACAAAAGTTTAAATTATAGTTGGATATTTATATGCAACTCTTTCGTGATAAGAATTTTGCCTACCTATATTGATTTGAAAAATATTTTTACACTTCGATCTAAATAAGAATTTACTTTTTTACGGTCAGAAAGTGTTATTGCGCGGGGTCCGTAGCATTTGCTACTCTTGCTACGTGGCTAATCCGCCACTGGCGTCACGGGTAGTATGGTACTTATCATTTGCAGTGAAACATAAAATCTGAGGGCAAGGGCGAAATTCGGTTAATGTTATGTATCAATCTATTAGTCTATTGTTTGACAAAGGCCCCTCCCCAAGGCCGCATTAGAAACAAGATATTAAGATCTTTTATATTAGGTTTTCCCATTTCGCTTTATGAAATTTTGAATCGTAAAATAGCCTTTATTCGTAAGTAAATAGGACTTCGAATCCCAGGATTGAATTGCATTACATAGTTTGTATACTACCGTACACACCAACTTATATATACTTCTTTGTATTAATAAATAAAAAATATTTAGGGTTTGTAGAATTTTGCATTTGCAAAACAAAATTACATACTAAAATATGTGTAATTATTTGTGTACACATATTGTAGTATGTGTACATGGATAAACTTGACACTACACGCATAAAGGTGTGCCTTTGTGCATGTAGTATCAAGTTTATCCATCTCCTGAATACAAACAAAAACATTTTCGATTCGTGGTTGACTTTTCACTCCTATTACTTTTAATATTACAACACAAACGTTCACAAAAGTTGAAAACTTGGCAAGTACGAGTCATTTCTGCCCTCTTAAATTACCCCAGCACAATCCACATCCATGTTTCGTTTCCAAATAGCCACTTACAAAAAGAAAACGGTCGAAAAAATATCCGAGTTCATAGTAATTAATGATTCTGAGTATTTAAAAATTAATATTCCGTCGGCTCTTAAAACGAGTTTTCACAGTGGAAAGGTTTATGATAATTAGGTAATGTTCTTATTCCAGAACTATTTGTTTCAAAATTTAGATTTTTTTAAGGAAATGATATATATACTGATGATCTTTTGGCTAATTTCTTTTAGACTCTTCTTAATTTGTTCTAGACTGGGGAAGCGAAGAAGATGAGATGGCCTAAAGGAATTATATTATTATCTATTCCTTTAATTCACTATTGATTGCCCTAATTGACTGACTGATTCATCAAGGCAAAATCCCAACTGCTGGGGCCAAAAAATTGAAATTTGACAGCTGACGCATTTTATGTTGTAAGCACCCTTTAAGAAAGGATTTTTGGAACATGTATCCCTAAATGGGTAAAATGGATTAACGGTAGTATAGAAGTGCGTCATTTTCAAAGACAGAAACACAAAATAAAAAATAATCATGCGAACGAAGTCGTGGGTAATATCTAGTATAATGATATAAAATAAGTTAAACATCATCTGACCTTACGTTTTTACAATAGAACCTACCTATTTGTTTTGTTCGTATAATAAATGGTCACGGAAAAAAGGTTCTTAATTTACTATCCTTACGCTCATTGAGACATCAAACAATAATCTTTACTCTATAGAGAAGGATTACGGTATCTTGTTACATTAAGCAGATGGATTTGCTTTGCTGCCGGCGACATCTATTGATAGTGGCTGAAATACTAACAAAAGGGACGTTTTAAGCTTTTATAGAGAACAAAGGTTGTAAAATGTTTGGGCAAAAGGAATAATATATTGAATATCTGAAACTTTTTCTGGTCATTTCTAAATTCATATACAAATGATAGATAAATAACATACAGACTGAGAACAAATGAGCTTGCTCATCACACAATTACTAATCCTGAATGGCAGCCACGACCTCAGGCTAAGCAGCCAGGATCTCTAGCCGCTAGACCAACAGGTCGCACTAGTAGGTAATAGTTAGTTGTTCTAAACCAATTAAAATATTACAAAAGGCATGCTTCGGTGTTATATACTATTTAAAGAAGAAGGAAAATCTTATTTAAACTTAATCACATATGTAAAGTCAAACAAATCTTGTATGTTATTCAGGTAAGTGATTTATTTATTAATACATGATTTAATAAGTAATAAAAAACCAATACAGAACAAATTAGCTAGATTGATGAAGTCAATGTTATATTTGCCAATAAAGCGAAAAGATATTTTTATTAAGGAAGATATTAAGTCTCGTTATCGGAAATGATTGATTATTGTTTGGTGAACAAACACAATTTGGCACACAATCTTACTTACATCAAGGTTCCGTTCGTGAGTATCGCTGTAACGCTGGAAAAATAATATTTCATCATAAGAAAAATTAAATTGGCCAATCAACTGGAATCCGAAGATGTACTCGTATAATACGAAAAATATAAACAGTTTAGATTTTGTACTGCTATGTTCAACTTATATTCAATTTGGTAATTGTTTTAGCTTATTAGAGTTAGCTTTTTTAGATTTTTGTAAACAGAAGATTGAGGGAAGCCCTATGCTGACCAAACAAACAGTGCTTAAACTATCTCTGTTAAAATTAAAATTGTATCTTTCAAATTATTATGGTTGACATTTTTCGACGTGATTTACTCGTATCATTGGTTGCTATAAAAATTTGCAGATAAAAACCAATAGAATCTATACAAATTCACTCATGCAAAATGGTTTTTTATGCATTTTATAAAGGTATGTTGATCCTGTACTGCTCTAAACGGTAATTCTTTGGCGCTGATCTAGTCTTAAAAAGTTTAAAATGTACAAAGTACATGTTTGGTATATTCAAATGCTAGAGCAGCATATTTGATTGATTTTTTAGGTAACACTAGACTATTATAATATGGTACTGAGGGCCTAGTGTGAGTTTATTTCACATCTACTCGATAGTCACGTTGAGCACGTTCGGCGCTGCGATTGGCCCGCACTGAAATCTTCACCAATCGCAACACCGAATGCGCTCGCTGTCAAGAGCAAGTTGATGCGAAATAATCTTGCATTTTCAACTTTAACAGTTTTGTTCAAAACCATAAAATCTCAGGTTCAAGTAACATTGGATTGTTATATCACAAAGAAAAGAAGTATTAGGTGCATAGAATAAGTATCGCGTAAACGTGCAATAAAACACTCGTATTTCTGTTACTGCATTGCACTACAATACAATTCTCTTGACAAATTGTGGCGAGTTTCCCACAAACAAAATGCTCTCGACGAGAACGAGCTATGTTTTACGACTTACAACGAACTTTAATTGCGTAATCTGATACCACCCGGCTCAGAGGAGTTTAAAAAAGAAAGAAATTGCTTACTTTTATTACGAATCTTAATCTTATTGCATGTATTTTAATATAATTGTGTACTTCATTAACAGATAAATACTTTGAAAGAGTTTCGTTTAACTCAAGTTTTTTTAAGGTTGATTGACTACAGATTAACTAACGCAATTAAAGGGCTCAGCCCGGATGTTATAATAAAAACTATATGGAACAGTCAACGCCATTTTTAAATTTCTGTGAATCTGAAATACATATTAAGACTAACAACATTCATAGAACATCGTATTTTGAATATGTTACGTTGTAGTGATGAAAAAAAATTGTGAAGCGTACCCTCGAGATCCTGAGTGGCTGATTTTGATCGGCGCCACCATGCATGCGGAAGCCCCACGGCGCACCGCCTGTCAACTCCACCTCTTTGGCTGTCATCGCTTTCTTTTCACTCCATTTCCTTCTTACAAATTCACAATACACGATTTCACTTCCAAAATATAGTGTCAATGTTTTGCCAACATTTATTCATGTCGTAGAAAATATTAAAGCGTAAACTGGAAGCCCGTAGTCATTTTATATCACAATTTCGTTATATTCAGTCAATTTTGCGCTGGAAGCTTGAGCGGTGGGATTTCAGCCTGTAACAAATATTATTAAATGTAACATCATTTTGTGGCTGGGTTAACGTGTTGCTTTTAATACAGCTAGTATTTAGATTTGTACATAATAGATTCATTTTGGGGGAAAACAAAATAGTGATAGATTGTATAAGAAATGAATAAGGTAACATTCCTTTATCCCGACTTGATATAATTTAGTAAAAGGTTTGATATAAAGGGACTTCCCTTGATATCAATTATATTATATTTTTATATTTTAGTTTTAAGACACACAGATTTAATTTTCGGACGACTAAATAGTTTGTTGAATTTGCGTCCAGGTTCACGTATTAGACACAAAACAATCTGCCACGTCTTAGTTGTGTCAGATTGGGGAACGTACTTGTGGCTCTTGAGGTCCAGGCGTCCATAGGCGGCGGTAGTCACTTACCATCAGGTGACATGTCGGCTCCTTTGCCTTCTATACTATATAAAAAGACGGGTCACCAGGGGGTAGATGACTATCACCGCTCCTGGACCCCATGACCTTGAAACTTACAAGTACGCTGTCGCACTTTGAGTTCCTACTCCAGAACTGGAGAGTGAGACTTTGTCTTTGAAATGCAACAAAATTGTTTAACACTGGTTTTTCTGAGATCATAATGTAACTCCAGCCGAGTCGGCCCATATGAGCTTAAGCATAAATCTGCCATGGTTATTATGGCATTTGCGTAAAACCTTAAATCTCAAACATCACGTAACAATAACAAATATAAACCACATTTCCAGTCGGTATGGAACAAAAGCAATAATGTAATTTGTAATCACTGCCTCGGGGTGCAGTGGTAGCGTATGCGGGTTTGAATCCCGGGTCGGACCAAATGTTTGTGAGTTTCAAATATTTATTTCGGAGTTTGGGTATTTTGGGTATGTAAAATATGTATGTACTTAAAAAAAAGTATATAAATATTCTATCAGTAAATCTAGCTTTGCTTAGTTTGAAACTAGATGGCGTTGTGTGTCAATGTCCGAAAAATGGTATATAAATATTGTAATTATTTATAGCTGTTCAATAATTAGTATCTGTGTAATTACGTTATTTGATTGCAGATGCTACATAGGAGGGTTTCCATTATTTGAAAATAATAGCCCAATCATACTCTTCCGTTATTATTCAATAACACCTAACAACCTGGCTAGTTTGTATATTTAGTTTTATGGACCGTCCTCGGGAACACTTAAATACATCGTAAAGTAGTTCATAAAGCATGCTGCTGGCAACAGATGTTTGAGGAGGAAATTCGAAAATCAATAAATATATAAAGTTTAGAACGGATTCTATTTATCCTGTTTTTTTAAGTAGCCAGGTGCTGGTAGTGAAATAGTTCCGAAGAAGATTAAGAACTATCTCTTTAGAAAATCTTTCCTCTGTTTTCTTGTGAAAAGTATAGCAATTTATTTTTAATTATTTTTAAAAATTTTAAATGAGCAACTCTTGCACATACTCGTATGTATATGTGGATTTTATGTATGTCGAAAACGACTCTAATGATTTGAATCATTTTTTTTATTACGATAACATTTTGTTTTAAAAAAAAACATTTATTAAGTCTTTGTAAGCTTTTTCACAATTCAATTCATTTATGTCCTAAATCTTCATCGAGGCCCGACCCTAGACAAAGGACTCCTTAACGGACGAATTATCATTAGATACATTGAATAAAATTGGAATTCCTCAATGGTCAATAGTCCAGATAAAAAAAACTTAATACACGCATTGAATTAAGCCAGTCTATCGTAAATTCAAAAAAAATTGTTTTACAAATATATTTTACCAAATTAACATATTAAATTTTTCTTCATTCACGAGTCTTCTCCAAAAATGGTCGCCTGTCGTTCATTAATAGTACATTCAATCACCTAACTTACTTACAAACTACTTACCTAGAAAAAAACTACCCCTTTGCTTTATCCAGGAGACAGAAATATAATGTCTTGGTACGAATAGCTATAGTAAAAAGCGCCTGGTCTAACTTATTTTGTTCTATAACATATAATAATAATATTTGGGACATCTGACACACAACGCCATCTAGTCCAAACTAAGCAGAGCCTGTACTATGAAAGCTAGACTGATAGTACACTCCGTGTGGCGACGGATTAAAAATACGGAATGTCACCATCCCTATACATTCCGTGGGTGGGCGATTAGGGTAGCAAACTAAGCAGGACAGCACTGAGAAGAGAAGGAAAACTTGAAACGAACCAACCCGTCTGGCCGGCGTGGTATAGTAGGCCAAAACCTCCTTTCTAAGGAGAGGTTTATGTCCAGCAGTGGACTACTATAGGCGGTTGATGTGATATTTAGATACTTTTTATTTGTAAATGCATATCATCCAAACAGCACATCAGTCGCATACGCTACTACTGCACCACCAAGGCAATCGGTAAGATAAGATCTTAGCCTTACACAGTTACAAAATTATAATCAAGTTTTTATCTAAACACATTCTGCTGTGCCTAGATATTTGTAAACATTTAAACCGTAACGAGGTAAAGAGCAGTGTCATAAACGTTCAAGTAATTTTATTTGTAGCGAGGTCAGTGTGTTAATACTGAATTATTTTCAGACTGTGATGCTGACTTCATAGAGGCCGAAGGTCGCTACGTATAAACAATGTGAATCATTTTTCAAATTATCCCACAAATATACAATTAGATACTATTATACGCTGTTATATATATTTTTCATATTTTTTCTTTAATCTTGCACGTCCTATGACATCACATCAACAGCCTTTAATAGTCCACTGCTGGACATAGGCCTCTCCTTAGAAAGGAGGTTTTGGCCTACTGCCTATGAACTACTACTACGTCCTATGAATTTAAATATAATTTTATACACTAGAGATCGCCTGGTGTTGGAATTTCGACCTTTTGGAAAGTCTTGTTTTATTTTATTGACCAGTATACCTTGAACTGTCACTGTATGGACTTTTGTACCATGCCTGGTCAATATATAACTGGAGTTTTATGTACTTAACCATAATCACCCGAATGCCAAGGCAGGGTTATGTTTTTGGCGGTAGGTTTTTGTTTTTCGCGGGAACCTTATCTTTGTTTGTAAATTTATTTTTACATAATTTATAACTTAATAGCACGTATTGTGTATAAATATTGACTTTGTGCACTTCTTCCAAATACAAACAAAGTATTCCAAATATGATATTATTATGCTTATTATATTATTACACATTGCACCATATTCGTTTAAAACGAGTACTAATCAAGAATTTTCTCCACGTATTGATATATAGACGTACGTATGGGAATTAACGCGGCATTGTCTACCTTTGAATTGCCCGATGTTTCATCCACTGGCCGTATTCATAGACTGAGACTGATACAGACTCAGTACAAAATGATCGAAAAATCTAAAGTATGGATCTTTTACGTGATCGTCGATAACTATTATAACAATTGGGTGTTTTCTATGTATAATATGTATGTATCTATGAAAAAAAGGTATGTGAGTATTGTATCAGTAAATCTAGCTTTTATAGTACAAGCTCTGCTTATTTCGAAACTAGATAGCGTTTCTGTGTCAGATGTCCAAAAATATTATTATTAGTTATTATTGACTTCGTAAATGACACGACAATTTTTGTACCTGTAAGAATAATAAGACCTGTTTAACTGATAATGAATGGCTTTAGTTAGTTAGATTTCTCCGTTTATTATTTCTCCCTTGTACTAAACTTATAGGTGGATCTGCAGTATGTCAAATCAGTCTTTCGTTATTAGATGTGTACCACCGATCGTGGTCACGACTGGATTGTTTACTCGTGATCACGAACGGTAATTCATCATAAAAGGTATTCCACCTTGGAATAATTATCGTGATTAAGTCACATCACATAATATATAATATGTATCGCAAGTATGTAGGTAAGTCACGGTAGCATAAATTTTTCGTACGTTATAACGACTCTAGAATTCATGACACAAGGATCTTCACCTTCAAGTTCATAGGTTTATTATCCATGACAATTATAATTGCGACGTTTCAGAATTGTAAACTGTCGTATTTAAATTCTCATCCAAAAATTATATTGAAGAAGGAGACTATTCTATTACAAGAGCCGTCAAAAAGCGAAGCTGAACTATTACGGTTTTTTTTTATTTAGTGGTAACTATTAAACATTAAATTCAAATAATGAATTCAGTCTAAACACATCTTTAACACGGCCAACCGCATGTTCACACGGGACAGCGTTGGACCTAACTGATGGAAATGATGCGGTTAGTTCGTGCCCGTAAGCGCACAGCTTGCAGCTAACATCTGATAAATTTGTTAACATGTTTCCACTATTATGGTGACACTGACAAAGCGTATTCGGTGACAACGCAATGAAGTTGTCCACATGCCAGTTTCATTTATAGTTCAAATTTAGTTGCTTAAAGAGCAAATTAACTTAAGCTGTTTGTGGTCTTGCTGTTTATGACATAATAAAGGGAACGAGACAGCTTTACAGTAATCGCATATCACTTGTAACACGTGTTATCTCATCTACCGATTTTATCATCTATATAGATGGCCAACTCTAGTTACTAAAAGACTATAGTTGGCCTCTACCACAGCGCGCGTTCAGTGGTCAAATTAAAATAGCGCGCGCTTCCTTGACTTCCTGTTACACATTTCCGTCCTGATACACGAAATAATATTTTCGGACATCTGACACACAAAGCCATCTAGTTTCAAACTAAGCAAAGCATTTAATATGAAAGCTAGATTGACCGCTAAAATACTTAGTTTTTTTGTTTCGTAAATACATA